CGGAAATCTGTGACGACCAACAAATTGCTGATGTATATGAAACCCTAATTTCCGCTGAGTTTGACGCTCGTAACAATCTGGAAGACGTCAAAGCAAATTCTTTTCACTCCAAATTGTTTTCACTCTTCCACTTCAAATTGCACATGAACAATTATATCGGTCAATCATGGTAAATGTGCATCGTCGAATGAGGCCTTCGATCAAGCCATCTTCTCGGAACATCGACAAGATACCATCCAGACGTTCGATGGAAAGCTTCATCTTTCGATAAACATGGTCCAGAAGCTGGCAGATGCTGGTTTGTCTCATGTTACACTACAATCTCTGTACGAGAAACTCAACATTTAACGGCCTCAATGGAGTTCCGGCCTTGGCGCCATCTGCAAAATCAACTTTTCATCAGACATCGAATTCAATTCCGCTAGAGAATTCTCTCCGGAGTTTCTCTCCGGAGTTTCTCTCCGGAGTTCATTTCCAACTGTCGTAACGGTAAGCAGTCCGAGTCTCAAATGATGACTCACTTTTCAGGAATGTGTAAAATTACAAAACAATGTGAATCCATCTTCAGGATGAACGATATTTTCCGCGCTGAGGGCATCCGTCGATTAATCGCACGGACACGGACTCATCCTCGCGAAAATGAGCCCCTGAGTCAGCAGTATCGTTTTTAGAGGGTCTTTTAGCACTACTGTACTGTTTCCATGGCAACAGATAATGCCTGACGAACCCCCTTAAAAGATTGCCCTAACATAGTGTTATGCATATGTAAAGTCATTATCCTGATGATAAGTTTGACAGTCCTGATATCTTTTACTGATCGGCACTTGCTGTTAATTGTGGAAAACCCTTTCGAGCCTCCTTAATTTCAAGATGACTTCCTCACGTTTTGTCAATGTTTCCAAGGAGGTGATAAAGGTGAAAGAAGAAAATTCAGTTACGAGGAACACAAAAGATGCTATTGAGTTTGGCGGAATTCTTTTCAAAGGAAGATATGTGAGGTTTTGCTACTGATTTGAATAAACCCGTTAAAACTGCTTGTTTATCTTCACACGAGTAATCAACACAGTTGTAACAAAATGTGCGTAATGCTTATTTAATTATAGTAATAATAACAGATTCGAAAGCACTTGAGTGATGATACCAAAACAATTAAACGCCTCAGGCTCAGTGAACATTGTTGAATAATCTCCTTGACTTCGTCTGGGGGATCAGCCAACAATATCCACTTCGCGTTCGGGTGATAAATGTTAAATCATAGTAATACTTATACCAATAATAACGAATAAAGAACTTATATTGCGCTCATATCATATAAGACAACAATTTGAACTTATAGGCATAATTTATTCATAGGGAGAAAGCAAAAATTAGTCAGACTTTCTACGAATCACCAGTGGTAAGTCCTTGCACAAATGCTTAGGAAATGAAAGGCCATTTAAAAAAGAATAAGGTAAAAAATTCGCAGGAGCTCAAGGTTCACGTCTGGTGTTTAGGCGCTAATATGCCAATATTTATTAAGAGGTTTTCGTCAATGTTTGTATTTTATTTTAGAATGATACCATATCTGAAGAATAATTTAGTACCACTCCACGTGAAAGCAAATTCTTACCTTTGCTCCCCTGCAGCGCCTAATAAAGAGAAAAAGGAAAAAGGGTAGAATTCTTCAGGCGGAGTTATAAATCTTTTTGTTTTGGATTATGAAAGATCATGGCTCACGCCCTTAGCATAAGTAATGAAATTGTTTACTCACCTCTCCTGCGAAGCCAGATTATGTAAGTTATTAGAAGAAGGACTATACAGGCAGGAATACCAATGAACGCTGTTAACATGACGTCGTTACTTGAGTACTTGCTTTCTTCAGGACCTAAATTGATTGGTTTCATGAGGGTCAACAAAGTAAAAATCGACAATGGTTTCCTAGAGCCTAGCCGAAATATTGCGCTGATGCCATGGCGTAAGGTTGAAAGAATGCGCACACTGACTGGCTAGATACTACGGCAAAACAGGGCGCAACTCAGTCCCTGTGAAAGTTTTGTAGACCAAAACTTTGTTTGAATGAATAGAACCAAAACGACAAGAATATATATCTTCATATAAATGACTCCCTTAGGAAAAAGAAGACAGGGAAAACAAAGAGTAAAAAATCTTAGATCATTTTCGAAAGGATATACGTGCTATGAATATTCGCAAAATTCTTACGCCTAAAATATCATCGCGATACCATTTTGTAGAAGTATTTTCTATTCTAAAACATTAGAAAATCCAACAAGAGATACAAAATAAGCTGTAATATTACTAAGTTAAGAAGAAATTGGACTTTTTTCCTACATAAGCTGAAAGAGATGACTTAAAACGATTCCATAATTGATCTCTTATATTTGGTCTGAAACAATTTATTCGTAACATTATACCTTTGGCTGCGATTCCCAATTCATCTGTGGGTGTGGACACTTGTTTGATTGAGTCTGGATCAACTTTAAAATCTCTGAATTTTTCTTGCCTCGCTGCGACCGCCAGGAGAGTCAAAACACGGCTAACTACTACTCTTTGATCGAACCTCATTATGAAGTCCAGAATAACGCTACCACACCTGGACAGTAAAATGTACATCGAGGCACCACAAAGTCAAAAGATATGTAAAATAATTTGTACTTTAGTGACATAAGCTACATTGAGTCAGGTTGAATTGAAATCAGTTCAAAGTCTCAGGATGTCGAAATTAGATAGTCAAAAATAGACCAAGAAAAAAAGACCTCCCATGAACACAAATTTGCGTTGGCTTAGTTGTGCTGTAATGTAAGAATAAGGCTGTACGTCACCTGGTGTTCACAGTGTTTGCAGATAAGCAGCCAAACTTAAAGGCAAGTGCACAAGCCTGGAAGAACATATACAATATTAGAATATCTACTTTAGCGAAGAAAACGTACAGTCCAGTGCTTTTTATGTTGCTGAATGATATCAGCAGTAAAATAGTGACTTCATTTCACGAAAAAATCGATAAATGATTAATCGATTGATGATGAAAAAGATTGGTAAATGATGAATTGTTCGTCAGTATCCCATAAATATCATAATATTGATCAAATATATTATCGTACCATATATGGAAATTCTACAGCAACTTCTACGCGTCTACTACAGTTCCCCTGTATTATTACTGTCAGGAAAACTTCTGAGCGTTCTGAAGCTTAAGAAAAGCCGTCTTCTATTAGAATTAAGAAAGAATAAATACCTTTTATTCAATGAAACAGCTTAGAGGTGGTTTAAGCTGAGAGCAAATAAAAATTTTCGAATTGTTCCCGTGAAAAATTCGCTCTGACAGGGTGTCAATAGACTCGAGAGCAAACTTGACCTATCACTTTTTATGTTTAATGCGAGAATTAAGATAATAACGTTACGAATCATATTATCCCATTTTAAGATTTGATTTGGGGTAAGGTAACGAATCTGATCCAACCGACGCGTCGGCCAACGTGTCGGCCGACGCGTTGATGCTGTGTTTTTGGACTTCGTTGATGCTGTGTTTTTTGGACTTCGCTAAGGCGTTCGATCGCGTAAACCATAAGATTCTAATGCATAAACTGCGTACCTTTGGAATAATAGGGTCACTGCTAGCCTGGTGTGGTGATTATTTATCGTGTCGTAAGCAGAGAGTTGTGGTGGATGGCAAAAGTTCTAGCTGGCTGAATATCACATCTGGCGTGCCGCAGGGGTCCATTTTGGGCCCCTTGTTTATTTTTTTATCATCATCAGTGATTTGCCAGAGGTAGTCCAGGAAAGCTCTGTGGCACTTTATGCAGTCGGCCGACGCGTTGGTCAACGTGTTGGCCGACGCGTCGGTTGGATCAGATTCGTTACCTTTACCTTTGATTTGTAAACTTTTCACATGCTTAGGTAGGTTTACAGAAGGACGACTTAATACTGAACGGATGCCATAGTATAATGCCCCGATACAAAATACTCAGTAGGACATAAATTGATCGACTTTTGTTTGATGATAGTCAGCATGAAACCTGCAAAGTTTTGCTCCCCTTAGTTCGTAACTTCTAAGTATGATCTATAATTTTCAGAGAATAAAGAGGAAAATAAGTCACCTGTGGGAGTTGTTTGTGAAGATGGAGTAATTGTATTTGATGCTGGTTTAACTGGGGAAAAATGACAAAACTTTTAAAAAGGGAATTTTTTAAATTTTATTTATTCATTACTCCAACTACCAGTACTTTTCCTTCAATTACGTTGTTTGCTTTGTTGTATATCTTGTTGGAGGTCTACAGTCAAACAGGGTGGCCACCGTTTGCTTGTGACTATAAGAGTATATCAATCTCGCAACGTTTTACTCGCTTTAGCTCACAAAGTCTAGGTACGATCTCTGATTTTCAGAGTATAAAAAGAAAAATAAGTGACTTGCGGGAGCTGTTTGTGAAGATGGGGTAACTGTACTTGGTGCCGGTTTAACTGGGGATAAATGATATAAACTTTAAGAACGAAAAATTTTTAAAATTTATTATATATTATTCCAATTACTAATAGCTTTGCCTCAATTACGATGATTACTCTCTGCTTTGACTTGTTGGAGGTCTACAGTCTAACAGGGTAGCCCCCGACCGCTTGTGACTATGAATGTGTATCAACCTCGCAACGTTTTACTAGCTTTAGCTCATAACGTCTAGGTACGATCTCTGATAATCAGAGTTTAAAAAGAAAAATAAGTCACTTGCGGGAGCTGTTTGTGAAGATGGGGTAACTGTACTTGATGCTGGTTTAACTAGGGAAAAATGACATAGAACTTTAAAAACTAAGACAGAAACCATGTTCACTACAAGACTGGCCTAATTAGACCCATCATTGATGGGACTAAACTAATGAACTTGCTCATTCCTCATATGAAAAAAAAATCTCTTGCCACTTCGATCGATCAATTTCTCAATCTATTTATCAAATTCAAAGCTATTTCATCTTGTACTACCATCTACATTTCTCTTTGGGGACATTGCATTTGCTTTCTGAAGTCGAGAACTCTAACATCCGAACTGCGATTTTAAGAAGTCTTACGGAAAAGTCCAATCACCAAAATCTCATTTGGCTCAAATTAAAGAGCAACCCACAACAACACTGATGTCTTCTTTTACTTTTAATCAAAGAGTTGAATTTTTTGTTGGTGAAACAATTGTAAGTTTTTTATTTTGAGTTCTCTGTACCATTTCTTTTTGTATATACTCGCCTAGTTTTATATAGAGTAGTTATCATATGCTCACAACAGCATTTGTCGCCATCCTCTACAACCCTGCTTTACATCAATTACATGTATGTATGAATGTATTTATGTACGACAATTATATTCCCCTTTAGAATGACAAGCGTCAGAGCATTTAGTGTTTTTTTTTTTTAATTCATCATAAGTCCGCATTACTCCCTCTTGCAGGGTTAAAAATTCCTAAATTTCATTTCCTTCTGTTGAAAGTGTACCGAAAAAGCAAACCTTTTTTTTTTTATATTTTCCTTCGGAGGAAAGAGAGCTCTACCATGCTTTTAGATAAAAAAAATACCACTAAATTTGCTGAAGCCACCCGCGTTCTGTCTTGTATTTTGCTAACAACTTTGCTAACAATATTGCTGACATATTTTGGTCTCAGATCCGATAGTTCATATTTATCGATAATCATACTTACACCTATTCAACTTACCAACGAGTAGCCAGAACCTGACAGTCGTACTTCCCACTTCATTTTTTGCAAAACAGGTATACCATCCTTCATCCCTTGAAGTAGCATTCTTAACCTCCAGAGTTGAGCAGCTAGTCATTTTTTCGCCGCTGGTATCATTTCCTTTGTACCACGTGATGACAGCTGGAGGGTTTCCAATATCCACAGGGCAATCAATAGACCTGTCTTCTCCTTTATCCAATTGAATGACGGCGCTTGATTGGGCGGCTGATGGTGCATCTGGATACAGTTAAAAAATAAAGAAGCCTTGAATGTGCTCTGTTCTGTTGTAAAGCACGCTCGAAAGAGGAATACATCCACTTTGAGAAAATTTATAGGATATTTAGATTCGACCGATTTTCGTCAAGTTTCGCTAAAACTAGGAATAATGACAAACGAAAGCGTGTCGGGAAATTTTGATATTTGAAATATTAGTCCCATGGCATCCATTTACGCGACATGCTTTGCATATTTTTAGCTACTCCAACTTTAGATGGCGATATCTAAACAACCAATCAAAATATCGAAAAAGTCTGACACGGTTTTGTGGATTGACGCCATGTGAATAAGACCGTGCATTCATTTTGCTTGTGCTGCGGCAACCGATACCTGATAAATTCAAAAGAAGAGCCCTCGATTGTTTTACGCCTTAGCGGCTCCGGACACTTTCTAAGAGAAAAACTTGCTTGATTCCTATTTTTATCGTAAACAGCATTTCTTAAGCTTTCCTCAAATGTAAAGTTTGCTTGAATTTTGGTGAAACTAGCGCGCCTAGGAATCAAGTTTTTCTCGAAGAATACCCGCGAAGGTGGGAAGTAATCTCAATAAATTAATTCGAGACACATCGTACACATACTACATTAACTCTCTGTAATATCCAGTCCATCGCTACAGTTCCGGTGGTTCGGTTTGCACATGCGCGCGGTCATCGCTTTGCGGTGCAACGCTGTCAGTTGTAGTTGAAAGAGTGTTTGTTTGAAAAATGCTCATTGGTCTAGCTCTCAAGTTATTTGATCAATTCAAATAAAACCTGCTAGAAATCAGAGACAAAGCATAACCAACAGATCAATTGGTATGATTTTAAGGTTGTCCACATCAAATAGTTTCCCTGACATTTCGAAAGATGGGTTAGAATTCATTTTCATGGAAAATAGTTAACAAAACAGAATGATAATAATTGCCATCCTTAGACAGAAAGATTGAAAATCCATCTGCGTTACACCGCATTACAAGAAATGCTAAGGCGAACAATTTTTGAATTAGTTTAGTCTAGTGATAATTTCTAAGCTTTTGCGTAGCATCGATTAAAATGGAGGCTGAGAACGCTGTCACATATCATAAAAAAAATTACTCATCCGCATAGGTTCTGCGATCTGAACAGTCCTTGTATGATTTAAGTACTGATATAGATGTTTATGAGCCTCAAGAAGACGAACACAGGATTTTCATCACAAAACTCGACGACGTATGTTTTGTCAGCTTCCGGAAAACAGAATTTGTGCCCCAAAGATGGGGCGCAAACATGGCGTCTCCATACAGAGCCTTATGAATTTGACTACAACATTTGTTCGAACATCTTCCATACGGAACATCGCACAGACCTGAATCTTTACAAGCCTATTTGAATATTCATCCTTTTTAAATCTCTTTGATTCTTGAATTTATTTGTTGCAAGGTTTTGATGATGATGTGACATTCAAAAACCGCCAATAACATCTACTTTAAAACATTCAAGTGATGTGTTTTTTTAAAAAGAGTTAAAACTCTTTCTAGTGCAAGAATTTGTAGTAAATATCCCTTCCATGGAGTGGAGAGAGTTATGATTGTATAGATTAGCACTGAATTTACCTTTTATCTGACGGCAAACCACACCAACATCCTTGTTATGACCACAGTTATGACCTGCCCATCCTGCGTGACTGCATTGTGAAACTGATTTCTCATCTCCTCTACACCACACCCTATTCAGCCATATTGGGCCCGTTCCTTCTCCAAATGTTGCATCTTTAGGGGCTGAAAACGCTCCATTGTATCCGAGCTGATTACAAACCACATCAGCATCTTTTAGGTCCCAGTAGTCCCCACATATTGTTCCCCATGTACCACTATAATGTATTTCAACGCGTCCCAAAAATGGTGCATCGTTTGGACTCACCAAGCGAACTGTGTATAGAGAAGAAGACATTCAGTTTACATTACCTTAGCATAACAGAAACACCCCAGTTAATACAAGTAAGACAATTAACGGTCCGTTCCAACAAACGAAATACAGAAGTCAAATATTGAGATTGCTATTCTAACAACTATATATCGCGTTTCTTGTGTCATTTCAGAATGATTCTTAGACTGGAATTTTCTGCCTTGATCATATGTAACATGCCTGAAATCACATGGATGCATCAAATTCTGGCAATGAACAACGAAGCAGTTCCTACAAATTTTTTAAACTCTCAAGAAAAGCACTCTCTAACATTAGTTTGTGTTTCCTCGACGTATTTTGGCACCGTTTTACACACCGAGTTTTTTATGAACAAACTGATAATAAATGAATTATGTACATAAAATATTCGGTGTGCGAATCAATCAAGAGTGGCTACTTGAAGCTGGAACTGCTATAAGCGTTTCCTTCTTCACACAGCTTAGCCGTTAATTTCGACTTTGAAACGACCCAAGAACGGCTCTAATTCAAATGACTAACTCTTCATGTTCCGACCCGAATGCATTAATTATTGAAAACTGTTTTGAAGATGTCTCCCTGGAACTGCATTAAGAAGTACTGCGAATGAACGGGTATCTGAGTTCGTTGTCTGAGTCCACAAGCTCTCTTATTGGAATTTAGGGAAGTCCAGTTATGAAGAAAGTTGAGTGCCTGTTCGATGCAAACCGAGGTCAATGTTTTGAGTGGTACTTAAGAAGTTTTAAACAGGGTTTGTTTAAACGTCAGTGAATGAGATCAGAAACGCTATTATGGTCTACAACCTCTTTGTTTATTCTTTATTCATCAGTTAGGAAAGAGACCATTTCTTCCATATGTAAAGAATCGCAAAATACGAAACAAAATATAGAAGGGTAAAACGCTTTGTAAAGATTGATTCGAGTTGGGGATTCAGTTGCAGTTCAGACAGCGAGCCCTGCAACAGGATCGGCATTGCTCAAACGTTCTACTCTTTGTTGCCTGTTCTAGTTGTCTTTCTTCTATAGCTGGCAAGTACTTTGAAATCGTACACAGAGCCGATAAAATATCTCAACTAGTTGCGTTTTTGAACTTCTGAATGTTAACGTTAAAGGATCCTTACCGCAACTAAGAGAGTACGTTTTCAACAATCAACGGGATAGATTATACTTTGACCATTGGATGATAGCAAGTAGCAAAAAAGTAACAAAGCTCCTGGGAGGCTTGTGCTAAGCCGATTGTGGATGAAAATTCGACAGGCTGTATTTTTTTTTTTTAATTTCCACGCCTATCCTCTTTCCCCCTATCTTTGCATTGCTATGCTTTTTACCAAAAGTTCCTCTCGCTTTGGTCTCCTAGTCTCCCTGATTTTTAAAGGAAGGGCCGGAAATACATCAAGGACAACAAACCATTTCAAGCAACTGCGAATAAATAGTTCCAAATGTTCGGTCTCCTAGTGCCAAGATAACTGTTGTTGTATTAAAGTCGGAATAAATGAATTTAACTCTTAAAGTTGGAAAACCGAAAATGCAAGCACACGGGGTTAAGAAACGCCTGAAGGTGTTTTAACTGATTAATCTGCATTCAGTCACTAAATTGTACCTTTCGGATTGACCAGCTGCAGTTCGCTGGATACTTATTTGCAGAGCCTTGTGTAGCCGGAAAGAAACGTCTGTAGCAGCCGTTTTTCCTTTAAAGCGGCCGATAAAAGTTTCTCTTTTCACCTCTTTTAAATATACACGAACAATGTAGTCATGCTCATGTAACATAATTGCCAGAATTCATGCCAACAGGTCAAATGAAAATGAGCACGAAACGAGATTTTTCCCTGCAAGCACCACTTCTGATTTGACCGAAAGTCGGGAATAACGCTACGTGGCGTGGCTACTTGCCAGAATTAATAAGTTATCAAATAAGTCAGAAAGCCCTTTTTAAATTTAAACTATTAAAATTTTTAAAATTACCAAAATATTTTCAAACTGTCAGTTTAGGCAAAAAATTGTAAAAATTACCATATAGTGAATATACATGGCACCTGGAAACTGGTTTAGCAGATAAGAACGTGTCTCTGAAAGAATCAAACATCACGGGAAATGAGAATTTTCAACCCCCCTTCAAATTTCGCCGGCAGTTAGGTACTCAGGGGGGATACATAAAAATGCCCTTTTTTAAAACTTGCAGCACTCTTGTTGCCATGGTAACAACGGCTGCTCGTTCGAGGCCTGGGGCCTCATTTCCATACAAAAACATCGCAAAAAAGTGTAAAATGTTTATTCTTCTATCTCAAGCTAAATACAACGTTACAAATTGGTACTTCTAGCATACGTAGTGACATCATTCTTCTTTACCTTGAAAGTGAATTTGAACACACCAATAGATTATTTATCTTGGTACAGTTTCGGTCATTATTTGCTGTAGGGTAAAACAGGGAAAACATTTGTCTAAATTTCTCCAAAGGTACGCCGATTCTGGAACTAAAACTACGCACTTACTTGGTTATAACATTCTAGTTTTTAAATATGTAAAAATCTCTGCGGGCCGGCCTCTACTTTTCATAGTGGCAATTCGCGAACGAAACTCAAAAATCAGATATTGCATAAATTGGCAATGTTTACATCTAATGTTCTCAACAACAAACGTTTCAGACAAATGAAAAGTGCACGAATTTGAAAGAATGTTATCTTCTAAGCAATATTCTGAAGAGAAATCTCGCCTCTAGCTATAATGTTTTAAAAAAAATTGATCAACCTTCATGGAGGACTACTCGACGTAACTACAAACATGTACTTTGAATCATTTGCATATCATCCAGATTCCGAGTACTGTGCCTTCTTTCATGGGAATTTGAGCTATCCAAAATCCTCTGACGATACACCGTAACGGCTTGTCTGTCATTTGAAACATGTTAAAGTTGGCTGATCTATAGGAAACTATCGTAACACTGGTAATTTGTCATAAACATGTACGTTATCACGATGGCGTGACGCTGGATTTCACCGTACCGTAAGTTTCCACCAGGTCTTTCCAAAGAAGACGAGAAATGGAAATTTCTCGATATTTCAGCAGATTTCCGCGCATTCTGAAGTAAAAAAAAAAAAAAAAAAGAGATGAAAACCCTTAATAGGCTAGTTTCGAATTGTTAGTGCGAGAAAGTCTGGTAAGTAATTAAGAGCACCAAGTCGAGGCTGAGGGGAATAAGCGCTTATTTTGAAAACAGATCGGAGAGACTGTAAGTGTGATATGAGGTTTTGTGCGATCGCTGTGTGCAAAAACAACTCTAAAAAACGGCCGGATCTCAACTTTTTCGAGTTTCCAGGCGAAGAGAGACTTAAAAAGAAATGGATTGCCTTCTGTCGTCGGGCTGATAAGGAGTTTACGTCAATCAAGAACTTACACATATGCTCTGAACACTTTGAGACGAAACAAATCGTAAAGAAACTTTCTGGGATCAAAAAATTAGTACAAGGGACGGTTCCAACAATTTTTAATCCATATTCAGACCCTAGATGTCCGAATCAACGCGAGGAAAGGTCCAG